GAGAGTAGAAAGCCAAGGGCTGGATGCCCGTGGGTGTATGTTGTTGAAGGGCGGCACCTATGGCGCAATTGGAGGCATTAGCAACAATGCAGAGTGGTGCATCAGATATAGGGTGAAAGAGGGCAGTTGTATCTGCCAGAACCTTTCTGACACGATTGAAAGCGTCGACTGCTATGTCAGGAAAAGAAAACTCGTGGTTGCTTCGGCGTAAAAGGTTAGTAAGTGGTACCATGAATTCAGCGCAACGCGGGATGAAACGTCGAAAGAAATTGACAAGGCCTTCAAAACGGCGCAGTTGTTGAAATGAAGTGGGAGTAGGGAACTCGCGAATAGCTGAAACTTTTGCATTTATGGGATGACAACCAAAAGCATCTATTCGATGTCCTAGGAAAAACAGTGACGGTACACCGAAAACTCATTTAGATGCGTTAATGAAAATACCAAATTGGCTGAATCGCTCAAAAATGAGACGGAGATGTTGAAGGTGTTCACTTTCGTTGGAACGTGCTACCAGAACATCAACGACATAAACAAAAACGAAAGGTAAGTCGCCGAGGAATTCGTTGATGAAACGCTGAAACGTTTGAGCAGAGTAACGTAGTCCAAAAGGCATCCTAGCAAACAGGAAGAGACTAAACGGTGTAGTAATCGCCGTTTTCGAATGTCTTTTGGAGCAACGGGTATCTGATGGAAAGCTTTTACTAGGTCAGTGCTGGAAAACACTGTTGCCCCTGCTAGGCTTGATTAAAAATCGTGCAAGTGGGGCAGGGGATAGCGGTCAAGTACAGTACAGGTGTTCAATCGCCGATAATCCCCGCATTGGCGCCAGTCAACGAGAGACTTTTTACACACCATATGTAAAGGTGCAGCCCATGGACTAGTAGAAGGTCTAACTATTCCAAGTTGTATCATGTGACTGAATTCAGCCTTAGCGATAGCTAACTTGTCGGTGGCTAAGCGACGAGGACGACTAAAAATGGGCGGTCCGGAAGTCGAATAATAATGGACAACAAAATGCTTAATGGGTTGGTTAAATTGTGAGGGTCGTGCGATAGAAGAATGGCGGTATGAACGTCAGCGATAGTAAATATCCAACGAAGTGAACGTCGCAGACCCAAATCTAGAGTAAGGGATCGTTGACCAAAAGTTTTAATGGGAGTACTGTTAGCTGCTTGAAGGAAAAGTGAAGAGTCTCGTGACTTACGGTCAGTCGAATTAGGTGGAATAAGAGATATCTGCGACCCAGTATCTATGAGGAAGCTACGGCAGGAACTCCTGTCATAGATGTGGAGCAGGCGATTGGGAAAGGATGGGCCGATCACGTTAGTCGCCTTTGCTGGTCGGGAGGAAAGCTCCTACGCGAATGTGAGTTGTATGTGCAGGGAGATTCGCAATGGTAGGCGTGTGAACCATAATTGCGATGGTACCAACAGAAACCATCAGTTCTAGTTTCGCCTGGAGTGAGAGACCTCGGGTGTCCAGTACTCGAAATACTACTTTTGTAGACGCGAGTGGCTCGAAGCTGGGCAATTTGAAAAGTGAGCGCGTCAGTGCGTGACACGACGTCTTGGATGGTAGGTGGGGGCGTGAGTTGACTAGCGCGAGGTGTGAACGTGATGTTAATGCCCGCATCAGCGCGGCTTGTGTCATCGGTCAAAAGGTCACAAACTGGGGTTGTGTTCGG